AGATGCACTCTGCTTCTCAAAACTGGGCCCGGGAAGCCTTATTTTGCTTCAACCTATACGCATGCAGATGAAATGACCAATTTCTGCATTTGGTGCTAGACTGAGCTAGAACCTTAACCCCTAGCAAAGGGCACTGGTACTTCTGAACATGTTAGTTTAAAAAATAGTGGTTACAACTGTAGTAAGCTTAGTACAAATCACTGATTTTTCCTTTCCTTGCTGTGAGTGTAATGGGTGCCTTCAACCTACCACATTCTTGATGACCTCATCTTTGCCGTCATGCTTTTGTACTTTCAGTAAGTGGTAGCAGAAATCCAGCACATCAAAGCGACGCTGCTGTCCCAAAAGCACAATGATCATACAGCCAGCCCAGTGCAATCCATCTCCAAAGCACTGTCTGTAATAGTACAAAGGCCAGGAAAGTTAGAGAAATTTCATCTAAGACTGGAAAAGTTAAGCAGCCAAACTTTTTTTTGTAAGGTAACAAAACATACCCAGAGTACAACCCTACCTAAAACATTTTCCAGGCTGAGGTATAAGCCCCACAATATTCAGTCATTCTCTGTGCCATGAGCAATGAGCAGAAAAGACAGGTGGATGCTGAAATACTATTGTTTTAAGTGATTCCTAAAAGATTTGTTCACCATGACACATTGGCACCATGACTTTCACATTAACCAGTGCCACACAAGCACTTTAATTTGGCCCTTAACAGAGCAAAGGTTGCAAGCCTCTTAAGTCTTCTCCCTTAATACATATTAGCCAGTGACAGGCAAATGACAACTCCAAATCATACAAAAGGCATGAAGGGACCTTCACAGGTAATCTAATCCAACCCCTGCCTGAGGCAGAATCATCCCTATCCAAACCGTCATGTAAAAATCCATAATCTAACCCAGGGGCGGGCAGTTATTGCAGGGGGAGGGCCACTTACTGAGTTTTGGCAAGCCATCAAGGGCCGCATGACAGGCAGCCAGGGCAGATAACTATTAATTTTCTAAATTTCTTAGGGGCCTCAAGGGCCAGATAGAATGGCTTGGCGGGCCGCATCTGGCCCTCAGGGCCACATTTTGCCCACCCCTGATGTAACCTCTTAGTAAAACTATGGTCAACCCTGATGCAACACAAGACATAACATAACACAATAACATACCACAGGTAAAAAAAAAAAAATCTAAAAACTGGAGAATTGAAGTCTACAGGGCACTAGCTGCTAAATGCTGGTTCCTGTTTCTATAATCTACAGGCTGTAAGTAATTACTTGTTACAACTATTTGTATTAGCACCCAGTTATTTCTGAGCTCTGTACCTGTAGTGATTAGTATAACTGGCAGATGTGTGCTAGGACTTCTCTGCTATGGGGTATTCATTATATGCTGGAAGTATTTGAAATAGATGGTTAACAAATAATTGGTGTTTGTTAACAGCCCCTCCCAGGACAAGCAGTGCTTTCTCTTGCTCTCTAAGATAAATGAGCAAATGCCACCATTATGTTTTGCATCCCTGTTCATTTGCAGAGATACAAATTAAGCACTTTGAACAGGTGCACAATTAGCAGATAGTGATACATACTCCACAGTGAACTCATGCGTTCCCACAGGAATACAGTACACAAACTGCATCGCACTCCAGAGACGGTGAAATTCCACACACTCATCCACATGCATTACACCATTGCTGGGCAGGGGCCCACGCCAGATTGGATCATCCAGGAAGGACCGAATCCTAGTTAAGATGACCTCAAACATGGATAGACCACAGCACAGACGTTCCTTGGTCAGCAAGTCTCCTTCCCTGGCTATTGCAATTTGCTAAAATTGAAAAGAGGAAACAGAGTTAACAGACTAAAACAGAGATTTTGTTAGGTATAGGGCAAGCGCGGTTTCTGTTTGGAAACCCCTACCTGTCTCTCACCTATTGACTACCTCAGTTTACACTTTCACTGGCTGGCTTTCTTGCATACATACTGGCCTCTGGCTTCTTTACTGTTCCACCCCGGAAGGGCACAGACCAAGTGCAGACACTTCCTCAGCCAGAAGAAGGGTGTTTGTACCCGAAAGCTTGCAAAGAACAATTTTTCCAACTATCTGAGTTGGTCTAATAAAAGAGATCGGATTTACCCAAAGAACCCTGTCTGTTTCTGTTTGGAGGCTTTCTACTAGTCCGGAATGGAGCTCTATGGTGGTGGCAACCTGATTTAATAAATGGATGGAGGAAAAGCTATCTAAGAGAATTTACCTCCCAGACTGTGCTGTACCTTGGGACAGGCCAGAAGGTGTACAGCACATTACTCAAACATGAAGTACTCTTGCTAGTCTGGTCAGCAGATGCAACATTTCTGGTTTAAGTAATGCTTTTTGGCTTTGTTTTTTTTCCATGTAAGGAAATGAATTCTCCTTGGTTCAAAGCAAAGACAAGTCAAAAAGCACCAACAATGGAATATTTTCCCCTCACCCTCAGACCAGGAGCACCTTTAAAAGGCTATTTGAGTAGAAAGGCTGGCCACTTCTGGGCTGTGCCCACCCTGGACCTGTCCTTAGCTCTGTAGGTTTCTTTTTGGGGGACTGAATTTGAGTCAGACAACAGAATTGGAGTGTTCGGTTTTCAGCTGGCTGGCACAAGTGATGGTTCCTGCCTTCGCTTTTAAGAGCGCTGGCATTAGAGGCTGATAAGCTTTTAAGTCAGCACTAATGGATCCATACAAGAGCAAGCAACTGAGATTCACAGTCAGTACCCATCCAAAACCTCACATTGTCAGCTGCCTCCTGGAGCTCAGTAAACCTTATCTACTTTACATGTGACCATGCCAGTGCCAACCCCCATATTCAGTTGAACTGGCTGTCAACTGATGAAGTTAACAAGGAATGAAACACACTCTAGGATGAGCGAGGGGTATCTGACACTGCAGCAGCGGCTCAGTAATGGGCTTAGAAAGGGAAGCATATTCTCTTTTTTATCTTTTCAGGGAGGCTCAGATCAAATGTAATGGCTGGTTTTCAAAGAGGGTCTAACTTTATCCAATTTGTTCATTGATACAGAAGAGAAATTATTTTTGTTAAAATGTCAGACAGGACAGTCAATTGCTTTTAGCAGAATTTAAGCGAGGAACCCTTGGGGTACAAGTACTCTGCTTTAGCCATTACTGCACACAAGGCTGCACAGGCAGACATCAACACCACAG